CTACCTGTGGTTGCTGAAATAGCCATGTAGGAATGGCTGTTGTGTCATATGCTGTATAGAGCCGTGTGAACCAAGCCTTCATGGGGCCTGTAACATCTGAAATACTTTGAATGCCTTTGCTTTGTTCCCCCTACTCTGGGCGGGTTATTTCATCGTAGCTCATTCAGCACAGCAACGGCTGTATGAAGATGAGGAACAGGAACCGAGCCGGGAAGCGGCACTTTGGGCACACTCACATGGGGATGCCCCAGCAGCTGGAGCTGCATCAGGGCACGCTGGTGCCTACAGATGGAGAAAGAGGTGGAAGGCACAAAGATGGGGGACAGGCTGCGGTGTGGGAGCTCTGCTTGGTGGCAGATGCTGGGTTGTCTTTTATACCCATGGCTGCCTTCTGTTTTTCCAACAGAGGTTTTGTGTTGGCAAGTCTTATTTTCCTCCAGGTGAGTAGGAAGAGGAAGGGTGTGAAGTAAATGCCGCAATGAACCTCCCTTGGGTTCACACTGAGGTTCCCCTGTACGAGTCTTTTGCATTGATACTGACGTTACCTGTTTTTCCTCACTGCACTTGATGCGGTTGTAATCCTGTCTTTGCCAAAATTCATAACACCTGCCTTCAGGCATTTCTTAGTGGCGTCTTCATCAGGACCTGGGTCTTTGTTTTAAATCAATGCAAGAAACATGAACCTCCAGAGAAGGAGTTAGATCTCTGCAAACAGCCCTGCTGAATTTAGTTAGGATTAAATAGCTTATATTCAAGTACTGCAATATTTTTCCTGATAGTCTTTTGTTTTTACTTTAAACTAAGTGTGAATATGTTTTTATGGTCTTCTCCAAAAGTCCTTGTGAGGTGTCCCTCTGCTTTCATTCCTATTTCAGTGCTGAAAATTGTCAGGAGAAATTATTGCTAAAACAAAATCAAAGCCAGGGTTTCCTTTTAACCTTTATATTTTTATTATGGCTTTGTCACTTTGCTAAAGGCTAGCTCTGCGTAAGCCTACACGCAAGGGGTGCCTTGGTGAGGCAGAGCACCGCGTGACCCACCAGTTCTTCTCTTGCAGCGGCACCAGTTTGAGTTTCACGGGGAGGCATGAGGCTGGGGCTGGCCATCCTGTTACACCTTAGTAAGTACAGATGTTACACTTATTCAGGCCAATTTTGAAATATTACCATGTGATTTACACATCTTTCCAAGATTTTGTTAGAGTGCTTCTTTTATGTAGGTTGTTAAGACACACGTGACAGTGAGTCCTCATTCCCCACTCCCCTGCCTAGGAGCTATGAGTGATATGAAACCTTTAAATACAAAGAAAAGCTAATTGAGTAATTGAGTAACTGTTGTAATTGAGTCTGAATCAGGTCCTGAAAGGGGCAATCATTATCTACTGACAGCTAATATCGTGGACCTGGATAAATAAAGAAGAACAGGCTAACCAAACATATGCATGGCTTTATACCTAAAGAGTCAAGCTTCACTCATCATCTGAAGTATAGCCTGAGCCATAGACTGAAACCTAGCTGTAAAATACTGTATATTTACTGCTGTAATCGCATTACTGCTTCTGGTGTTCTGTGGGATCTTCATGTATTGATTGGTTTTTTTTTAACTGCACTTTTTATGACAAGTTGAGCCAAGTAAAGCTGAACAGATAAAGCCTCCGAGGTACCCATTCCTGTTCAGGGTTTCAGGACAGAACTTGTTTAAAAGCACAAGCCCTGTAAGGGAAGTTTTAACATAATGGGGAAAATATTTAAAGCTGTTTCAGGCAAAATAAACCAAAAGATCCTGCAATTATTTAGAGAATTCAGAATTATTCTGTTTAATTATTAATGACCATTCCACGGGGTCTGAACGGAGGGTTCTGGGGCCGGACCAGGAGGTTCACTGCAAAGCATCAGAAAACCTGAGGGACCCCAATGTCAATTCTGGTCTCAGTTCCACCATTATCACTCGGAAATCAGCAGAAATCAGCACAATTAATCCAAATTTGGCTCTGCTCACAGAGTCAATTGAAATGCCTGTGATTCTGTTGCAGGAGTGCTGGCTATGGGTATGCCAGGGTAGGAAGCATAATAAATTATTGCTCATAGCAGATTGGCATGTTTACTGTGTGCTGAGAATTTAAGTTTTAGCATAGATTTGCAATATGCTAGCTATATTTTTTATAATGATTTTGCAGCAGGTGTGTTCATTACCAAAGCTCTTCAAGATTCTACCAAATGATATTATTAAGGACAAAAGGAGTACAGGTAAAGGATAATTTAGTTTTCTGCTGATGTTAGGATGTTACTGATTTTCTCTGGAGAATACTGCTGGGTATACAAACCAATTTCATCTCTCTTTGATCTTCTTTTGCGTTCAGCGCTGATAAGACTCCAGCATGCACAGGATGACTGTGATGCTGGGTCCTGCCACCCGGCCATTGGGGATCTCCTCCTGGGTCGCAGCAAGCAATTAACGGCCTCATCAACCTGTGGAATGAATGGCCCTCAGAAGTACTGCATTATAGGCTACCTAGAGGTTGGTTTGCTCTTTCTTTTTTAATAAACTGAACCCTGCTTACTAACAATATTCTTATTTGTAAAAGGAAATTGCCCAGACTAGGAAGTTTCTACTGAAGTTGTCTGAAAAAACATCAGACAACATGACATAAGCCTGGTGGAAGGCTATGCCTTATTACAGCACATAGGGAGAGTTTGGCAGCAAACAGCCTCCACAGTGATGTATAACCTCTCAAGAGGGAGAAACATCCATGAGATGGAAATGAGCACAGGGATTTCTGACGGAGCTTTGCTCTGTGGGTCCTTTTCCCACCCATGCCTCAGAGGTGAAGACCACAGTTTGGATGTGCGTGTGTGCTTAGCAGGAGGAGTGCGGTCCTGCAGGCCATAGGCACTGCCTCGAAGGGCCTTCGCTAAGGTACGTGTCCCGTACAGTATTGAGACCTGAGGCAGCCTGTTAAGTGATCACACTGTGTCCTCTCATGTCTTTTTGATCTGAAATTAGACCAACATTGATAAAAGCAGAAAGCCATCTCTGGCAGAGGGAAAACCTAATGGTGTAGTCCAGTCTTTGGCTGTGTGAGTGGGTGGACAGATCCAAAATGTGGGTGATCAGAGGGATCCCTCTTGCTCGCTGGCCGCAGCGATGGGGGCCATGGGGGACCAGCGGGTGTGCAGGAGCCACGGGCAGAAACGGGAATTCCCCTGTTGCGTGTCTTGGAGGACTTGGCCCCACTAAGCTAATAAATTGTCGCAAACAGAAATATTTTCACTAAATATCAGGTGTAGGCTGAAGAGGAAGTTAATAAAACACAGCTTAACTTACAAGCATTTGAAAGTAATTATGTTTATGACCTTCTGGCAAAACGCTGTGACACATTTACAGTGCAAAGCTCTGCCACGCTGAGATGGCATCAAGCACTGCTCCAAGTTACTCATTGCAACTACGCTTTTCTGCAAAATGTAAATACCTCTTTCCTCTTCCAAAAGAGCCTGTGAGCTGCTCTTCACCCTTTGCTGATTTTTCCCATGTTGTTTGAACAAGTGGATCCTGGGCACTAACTCATTGGCTGTGCTCCGAGTCTTGGCACTGCTTGGTAGATGGGCACAAAGAGCCATCTCAGAGACATCGTCTTTCTGGCCCTTAGCTGTATGACTGCCTTTTTTTTTCTCTTTTTAAGAGGAGATCAAAGAGCAATAAAAAATTAATGTTTTCACTTGCCTGTACTTATCCTTTGAATTATGTAAATACAGACTCATGAAAAGGAACAGCTGTTCCACAATAATCCCTGTGATTTAATGCTGCTTCAACGTATCTTGATCCCTGGTGACTGTCTCCTGAATAGGATGAGAGCTACAAATTCTGCTGCTTTGCAGAGCTTGAGAGATAGAGGCTTATGCTCTGGCAATGTGATCTGTACCAGCTCCCCTTAAATGCGTCTGTCACCTAAGGTGTATCAGAAAGTCCCACTCAACTCAATTCTCTTTCTCACTAGCACATTCTTGAACATGTTGCTGGAGGCAGGCTGGGAAGCTTTGCATCTTGCAAAGCCAAGTGCTTCCTCCCCCAGTTCCCCTCCTGATGACCTGTGTCAGGCATCATGACGAGAACAAACCTTACTTGTGAAAGTTTGTGTTAATCAATGTGGCAAGCTGCCAAGAGCCAGGACTTGGTTGGGATGTCTTATTGAAAATTCAGATTGAAAAAAAATTAGAGTTCAACTGCTTTGTGTTTGAAAAGAAGCACTGCAAATCACTTTCAGTCTTTAATGTGTCTTGTTGTTTCTAAGTGTAGGTTAAGTGGGTTTTAGCCCTATGATTTTATTTACTAATAACACATGTTTTGAAAGGAAAAGAAAAAGGACTCAGTATTGAGGAGAGTATAAAGCTGCACACTTCAGAGGTAAATGGGATCTGCCAGACTTGCCTTACGTGGACATGCACGTGCTTGTCCTTTGAGGCACAAAAAGATTATGAGGCACATAAGATTTTATGGAGCAACCTTAAACATAAATTGACTGAGTGTCATATTGTATGTATCTATATAAACCAGAGAGTGGGTGTGCACAGTCCTGCCAAATGCTTCGATAACCTGAGCTCTCCTTAACAGAGCTTTGTGAAATGAGATGACAGAGTATTTTTTGTATTTCTGTCTCATCTTCTAAATTGTACATTCGTACATTTGTCAACTGTGGTATAGAATGACTGAATATAATGTATATTTATCATAATGTTTAAAACACATGAATTATACCATACCAGTAAATCTGTATCTCTTTGTTTGTTTAAATGTGAATAATTCCCAGGTGATTTCATAATACAAAGGTGTCCAAACCATTCCTAATACTTCTCCGTAGATCCTGAGTGTGCTGGGCAGGGTGCCTCTCTGCCCGTCCCCTTCTGGGTCATTTCCAGCCCAGCTCCTGCCACTGACTTCCACTTTTTGTTTTCAGCAGCATCCCTGCCAGCCTCCCAGCCAAGGGCACTCTGTGCCTCCTCCTTCAGCTCCCTCTGGGGTGCTGTGTCATCCCCCCTTCTCCCTGCCAGCGTCCCTGCCAGCCAGGCATACAGTTTGGGCGTCACCTTCTGCTTTGGCTTATCCCTGAGTCCTCGCACTCAGGCTCTGCCCAAATCTCGTAGAGTCCGTCTGCGTAGCGCAGCCGCCCCTGCCCACCCTGGGCATCCCCGGCACAGCCACTGCCGTTCGCTTCCCCATGGCACTGCCGGCTGCGATCGCATGCTGCTTGGGCTTGTCCGCATGGCTCAGCACGGGTCATCTCCCAGCCCGGCATGTTAACCTTGTCACCTCTCCTTACCGCTCCCACTCAATCCCCCTCTTATCACCTTAAATAGGAGCTCCTTCCTCGCCTTCAAAGCCCTTTTGCAGACAAAAGCCTCTCATTCAGCATTGAGATATTGGCTAATCATTGCCACCATCGTCTTCTGCTTGTTATATTTTTAAACAAGACCCTTTCATCCTATTGACATCCCGATTTTCCTCCTTTGCATAATTTCTAAACGTTTCCAGTTTCCCTGTGCCTACAAAAGTCACTGACAGTGGTCGGGGTGGTGGTGTCAGCCCAGACCACCTACTTACATTGTACCTGGATCCATCCTTGCCTTCCATTTGTACAACAGCACCTGTCTGCTGCTCTTGGCTGGGTTTCCGAGCTGCCAGAAAGTGTGCAAAGAGAGAGGAAAAAAGGTATAAATGATTTAGTGAATGTTCCTCTTCAAGGCTTCTTCAGATCTTGAAAGATCCAGTCCTCCCTTATACCCCCTCTGCCTCCTCATTGGCAGCTCCGGCTTGAAAGTTTCTACAGCCTTTATGAGACATGTATAAAAGCTCAACTTTTAAAAAATAAATTTCTCCTGAGAAACGCTTGCAAAACAAACTCTCGCAAAACAAACTCTCTGGCAGCTAAACCCAGAATCAACACCTTGACAAACTTATTTCTTTGCTCTTACCGAGATCCCTTTTCCACAACTGAAAAAGTGTATTGTTTATAGAGTACCTGGGGCAAACCGAGGCCAACATTTACTATATGCACAGTTTGTGCATATGATGATTTTCTTGGGCTTGTCCCTTATATATGAAAGCCTGAGTGATTAAAAGCACAGGCACCCAAAGCAACATGACAGGCTCCAATCTTGCAATGGCATAAATACGTGTACGTCACCAGATCTTTAGAGAAGAGACCAAATTAATCTTTTATCCTGCGCGTTTTGTTTTCTAGGCTGAACAGAAGTGCTTTCTCTGTGATTCCAGATACCCGTATAATCCCTATATGCAGCACAACAGTCACATGGTTGAAAATGTTATCACAACTTTTGAGCCCGATAGGAAAAAAAAGTGGTGGCAGTCTGAAAATGGTAAGTTTCTTGGAGAAAAAATTACTGCAAAATTACTTACTGTGAGATTTATTTATGTAATTAGGATTCATCACATTGTCCTCATGAAAAGATGAGACAAAACTGCATCTATTCTTTGATTCGGTAATACTGAGAGATTTAAACCTATTTGTGTGTAACAATATAGGATTTAGAAATTCTGTTTTTCTACAGACAACTTTTAAGTACAGTATCTCCAAGAGCTGGCCAGAGAACCCGCGGCAGTGCTGTGTTATACACGCTGGCATTTTTCACAGAGTGTCTGCTTTTCAGGGAAATGCGATTTGTGGCAAAAGGTACATTTGCCTACAGATGTCTAATGACAGAGTGCGTAAAACACAAATATCCATTTAAAAAAAATAGTGCTTGCAGTGTAAAGCACGAATACTTTAGGAAATAATTGAATGAAGCCAGGCTATCAGCACCCTTATTGCCACATGTTAATTTTGTCGCAAGGTTCTCTGTTGCAGTTCTTCACTGGTATCAATTTATATATCCTTACAGCTTCTCTGTGAAGGCATGATAGGAGGAATAGCATCTACTCTACTTTTTTGACATATAGTAAATATGTAAAAAATATGTGACTTGTTGGAAATTAAGGCATAGAAAAATTAAGATTATATGTTACCCCTATTTTGGGTAACTAAAATTCATAAGCCTTGTTTTTTCGTGGAGTCTGGCAAGGAACTGTCACCAGTTTTAGACATCAGTGTCAATAAAGCTGTGGGCCAGCTGTGAGAGGATCTCCTCTTGCTCTCGCCATCTTTCTTCTGGGATGAGGTCTCACACACAGCCTGGAGTGCAGGAGCCCTGGGATGCTGCATGCAGATGTGAACAATGGGGATATCAGCTGAGCTCCTGCAACTCTCTACAGAAAATGTGTGAATTGTGGTTGTTTTTCCCATACTTGTTGCAATTTTGGAAGATGCCTGGTGTGGTAGCTCAGCTCATGACAAATTTCAGGTCTGGCAGTATAGAAGGGTTTAACAGATCTGTTTAGCATGAAGAAAACCCCATATTTTTATTTTTTTCTTAGAAATAAGAAAACTGTTTGGATGGATTTTGAAAGAATCTTACTGGATACAGGAAGATGTAAACCCAGAACCTTACCATCACCGTCACTTACAGTCTGAATGGTCTGAACAGGACCTTTAACCATCTCCTGCAGTCTCAGTGACATGCGGCATTGCCGGTGCCAGTGCCAGAAAGGCAGCGCATCGCATTGTCCCCGAGAGAGCGATCCAGCCGCACGCCGGGTTTGTGCACAGGGGATGCCCTAAAGAGCCTAGCTGCCATGCTGGAAAAGGCATCTTTAAATTCCCCATGGGAAAGCTCTCTCAGCAACCCCTCCAATGTGAGCATTGTCCTCTTCACTTCATTTTCATTCTCTTTTCAGGTGTCGACCATGTCAGCATTAGATTGGACCTAGAAACTTTATTCCAGTTCAGCCATCTTATCCTGACTTTTAAGGTACATCTTTTACCAGAGCTTTTATGTAATGTTATACACTAATTGCTTAACCACAGGAATAAATTGCTTAGAGAGGCAGTGAAAGCTCCATCTTTAGAGGTTTGTAAGAACAGGTTAGATAAACACCTGTCAAGTATGGTTAAGTTATAGTTGATCCTGCCTTAGGGGAGGACGATAGAATGAATAGCTTCCTACTCATGTGCCTTCTGGTCCTATTTTCTAGAAATCTGAGAATTAAAGCTGAAAAGAAAATTAAATTGCAAAATTAAGCCCTAAAAATTTAGGACATTTCTGAACTGAGGTTGCTCTTTCAAGTTTAGTTCAGTCTTCTTATGCATATCCATTATGATCCAGATGGTTACAAATTTTTTTCTACAAAATTCCTACATTGTTATGGTAAACTTCCTTACTTAGGAAGTAATCTTACATCTATGTGGAAGGTTGCCCTTCCCTTTAGCTGAGAGGGCTTAGATGAAGAATCCGGCTTTTTCAGAGAATCATGTAACCAACACAGTAGCCCTGTAGGGAGCCTGCAAGCTCCCAAACACAAAATTTTAATTGGCAGCTGCTGGCATCCCCCAAACAGGAATGTCAACAGAACAACTCCTGAGATGTCTTATCAACACCTGGTTAAGGAATTCTTGAAATAATGTTTCCTGCAGACATTTCGGCCTGCAGCAATGCTGGTTGAGCGCTCCACCGACTTTGGTCAGACCTGGAAAGCATTTAGATATTTTGCACAGAACTGTGCAGCTTCTTTTCCCAACATCTCTTCTGGTCCGGCAAAAAGTGTGGCAGACGTCATTTGTGATTCAAGATATTCAGACATCGAGCCCTCCACTGAAGGCGAGGTATTACCAAGTGTCTGTGTTTGTATAGGTTCAGATCATACGTGGCTGTTTTTCTGGAGCTGAGGGTCTCTTGTCTGTATCCATCAGATCCACTGATACGGGTTCTGAGACATGAAGTGCTATTGACTTTACTGAAGTAAGAGGGAAAGACAAACACTGCACTTTACCCTCAGTTTTACATCCAAATGAACTCATAAAACAACTTGTACAAAACCTTCTACTGCTCTTTCCTGCTTTCCAAATTCACATGGAAGTCCCCTGTATAAGAGATCTTGACTCTCCATTAGTCTCTACCGCTAAAGGCAGGGGCCTGTCCTTTGATCCCTTTGGTAGGTGCTGGTCCCATCTCTACATCACTCTAGGGCACTGTTTTTCCTTCCTCCTGACACATCAATCCACCAAAAGGTCTTTTTGCCTTGCTCAGCCAAGGCCAGGTTGAAACCATGAGAGCACTTGCTGAATCAGGGCTATAGCCTTGTGTTTTTTTCTTTTATGGGATCAGTAAAGTGGCATTAGTAACTAATGGGTCTCAGGTAACAGACTTTATATCCAAAAAGAATAGCTTCAGTGATCTATAGAGCTGTATTAATTTATTTTGCAGGTTGTTTTAAAAGCTTTGGATCCCACCTTTGAAATAGAAAATCCATATGTGCCATATATCCAAGGTATGGACAGTACAGGTTTTCTCCAGAGATACTTCGCTGGTGTTGCTTGTTTTGTACACTGAAAGGGTAAAAAGCTCAGCTGGTGTAAGTCAATGATGTTGAAAATTAGGTAGCAAAAGATCATAGGGAGACATCCATATTAATAAATAAAATAGGCCAATCTTGTTCTCTAGCCCTGAGGGCAAACGACACAGCTCTGCAGAACTCATGCAAGCAGCTGAACTATCTTTCCTTCTGGGATCAGGTGGCCCAATCCACACTGCCTCTTGGGAGCAAGCCCAGAGCTGTACATGAACCCGTGAAGACATTGACTGGGAAAATACAGGTTGGCCCTAGCTAGAGCCATACCAAGGAGGGTGCTAACGCTTCCGCAGCTGTGTGCCAGGAGTGGGTCCGTGCCCTGGCACTGTATGGGTTACTGGTCTCGGCCAGTATCAGATCATTTTCACTATTTCTTCAGTATGGGGAATTCTTGGATGACTGATCCAAGCTGAAGATTTCATACTGTTTGTCTTCAAGTGGACTTGGACTCTTGATTTCTCTTCTTTCCTTCTAGAGCTCATTACGTTGACAAACCTAAGGATCAATTTTACTAAACTCCACACCCTTGGGGATGCTCTCCTTGGAAGAAGGCACAGTGATCCCCTCGAGAAGTACTACTATGCTGTCTATGAGATGGTTGTGCGGGGCAGCTGCTTTTGCAATGGCCACGCCAGCCAGTGTGATCCCGTGCAGAATCTGCGGGGAGATGTTTTCCATCAGTCTGGGATGGTGCGTTGTTAACGCTGTCTCCAACAAGGGCAATCCCTACCTGGTATTTTGGGGAAGGAAGGAGATGGAGGGAGGGGGAGGAAGGAAGTTCTCTGATGCCCATTTGCAACTCCAAGTTATAAAATGTTTCAATACAGCTTCTTCCTTTAAAACCCTGGGCTGGATTGCTCAGAAGCTGCCTCTTTGTTGGCACTAGTATGGTGTTTCAAAAGCAACTGGGAGAAGACATGTTGAAAATAGCAGCAAAATACCAGAGCTGTAATGGTGCAAATGTAATGCAGTAAGTAGCCTGTGGTGTGTGCAGACTTGAATGAATGGCCACTCGTTGGGTGCATTCCACACTCCAGCTGGGCTCGGGGGCTCTGCGGCAGGAGAGGAGGCATTGGCACAGAGGATAGCTGATAATGCAAAGCTAATCCATGAAAAATAGATTATTAAAAAATTCAGGAACATGATTGTGAATTCTTTCCTTCTGGGAACAAGAGGTTTTTTTCTCCTGGAAAATATGTATCTCAATGTAGAGACATGTAGGGAGAGAGAAATAGAATTTAAAAAGTTGAATTCTCCTTTGATATCTCTAGAAGTATTTTTTTTCCTAAATGTTGCTCAGTGGCTTTAAAACTATTTGGTTAAAGTTTGCAGGTATTCTCCAGACCTTTTACTCAAATAATTGAGAATTATGTCAGCTGAGGGAGCCAAAGAGCTTTGAATTTTCCTGATCTTGCTGGCATACCTTGAGCAGATAGCTCCTCTCCTCTCTTCTCCTCTCCCCTCGTGTCACCTCACCTCCTCTCTGTTCTCACCATGTTGCAGGTCCACGGGAGATGTATCTGCCAGCATAACACAGAAGGTTTGTCCTGTGAAAGATGTAAAGATTTCTACAATGATGCTCCATGGAGGCCAGCTGAAGGGGCACAAGATAATGCTTGCAAACGTAACTCAAACATATTATTTTCCTTTTCAATAGGTGGGGGGTGCGTGTAGCACATTCCCGGCGCAATCCGTAATGGGTTGGCTGGGTTTCTGGGAGGGAGACTTTTCCATGCCTCATCTAGAAAAACAGATGGATTCCTGTATCCATCGGTATTGTGTTGTCCTACAAGAAAGAGAGCTTTTTCATAAAGAGAAAAAAACAATACAGAGAGGAGAAATCAACTAATGCAAAAAAGATCATTCATTGGTTTGCATAGGGTCTTTCTTGTGAATGAAAGAAGAATTTAGACAAGGCTAAATTATTTATTTCCACAATAATGAGTAATGCAGGATATCCAAGAATAATATATTGGGGTCTGTAACGAATATTCAGCTAGATCTTTCTTCAGTGGAGCAGTGTTCCCCACTGCGTATCAGGCACACTCACCTGCATGGGTACTTTTCCAAGTGGAGGGCCCAGTTCCGTCGTGAGTCTCCAATGCTTCCCCCAGCTGTAAAGCACGAGGCCTGGGAGTCTATAATCTTGCTGGGGCACTGAAATCATGTGAGTAACGAGTAACCCCATGTTAACGATACACAGCAATGGTGTGAAGACAACAACAATAGGAATCGTGGTGCGAAATACCCCACTGTTTGTTTTGGTTTCAGGGTGTAACTGCAACGGCCACTCTGGCAGATGCCACTTTGACATGGCCGTGTACCAGGCCAGTGGTGGGGTCAGCGGTGGTGTTTGTGAGGACTGTCAGGACAACACCATGGGGCAACACTGCGACCAGTGCAAACGTTTCTTTTACCAGGATCCACTCAAAGTCATTTCGGACCCTCACGCATGCCTCCGTAAGCTTTGCTTCTTTAGCTTCTGTAAGAATGACTCAAAATGGGGTGGTTCGGGTTCTCTTTGCTCTGAGCCCTATGGCATCCCCATGCTTAAATGTTCATAGGTTTGTAAAAATGTTACCAAACCTATAACATCCAAACTACCTTATAAAGTAGCTGCATGACGACATCCTTGAACCAGCATTGTGACAAGGGCTGCATATTCCAACTCATTGCTAAACTGAGCTTGGAAATCCAGCAGGGATCCTTCATCCTTCTTCCTTCTTCATCCTTCTTGTTCATCCTTCTTGAACAACAGCAATATAAATATGAATAGTAATAGTGCTGTTACTTCTGTGATAGTCAGGAATTACAGGAGAGGTGCAAAATGGTGGGAGGAGAAATAATTTTTGCTAGATACCTGCCATATATAAGAAAAATAAGCTTTCCGGCATGAAAGCCCTTCTTCTGAATGATGAGCTAAATTCAGTATTAACATAGGATAGGAAAAATGCTCTGAGTATAATTTAAGTGTAGTAATTGGTTGGCATGACAAGTCCTTGAGGAGCCAAGTGGAGATTACCCAGGGAAGCAATGTAGTAGATGTCAGCTCTGCTGTGAGAAATGGGTAGTGCTTTAGGAAAAAATGGGATGCGTCATGAAGGCAGCGTCCCCTGCTGAATCCATTCCGGTAAATAATTCAGCTATGGCCGAATCAGACCAGCTCTGGGGAGGTGGCTCACACTTGGTGCCCTCTGCAACCCTACAGCTTTCATGAAAGCGTCCCCAAAAATTATGCTTTATAGTTATAGGGCCCTCTCCTCTGCAGGTACTCTGGAGAAGCTAGGGAGTGGATGAGTAACGCCTATTTCTACCCAAAGCAAAGGCTATATTTCTACTAAAGTGAAGACTGTAACTCTCCTCCAGAGAAAAAGTAGATCTTGGAAACACAGTGGCTGTGCATTGATTGTAAAGCATCCAACACAACAAGCGTGGATGAACATCTCTAGTCTTTACAAGAATCCTGAAGTTGTGCCTACTTGCAGCTCTGTAATTGCATTTTCATGCTTATATCTAAATGTGCTTTTTTTATATGTCTCCTTGGCCATGCCTGCAGCCTGCAACTGTGACCCAGAAGGTACGTTGCACAACGGCATGTGCGAAAGCCGCACAGATCCTGCACTGGGAACGGTCGCAGGCCAGTGCCCTTGCAAGGAGAACGTGGAGGGTGTCCGCTGTGACAAGTGCAGGGCGAACTACTACGGGCTGAGCGGCAGTGACCCTCTGGGGTGCCAGCGTATGTAAACCATCTCTTTTGTTCTTCTTTCCAAAGCACTTTTAAAAGATGGAGGTAGTTGAATGCACAGATGCACACACTAATGCACAGATGCTACCTGGTTCACAAAATATCCAGTTGCCTACTATAATTTAATGTCAATGTAATTTAACGTACCTGGTGCAGCATCTGAGGTGGAGAAGATACAAAATCACTTGCAGAATACATAGTATATTATAATGGACCAGGCTGTTGTTAAACATGCAATTTAATTGAAAAGGGAGACTAAAACGTATGAAAATAATTTTGGAAGCAGAATCAGCCTAAGGGTGAATGAAAAGCCACAGACAGGCTGTTAGGATAGTTGGACTCTGCACTGCACAGTGCAGCGTCCAAATGGCAGGAGCTGCTGCCTTGCCATGAGAGCTTCCAGCCAGCCGTTCCTCCGAGAGGGGCTCACTGAAAAACACATCCTGCCCCTACCCAGGCGCACTGGGGGTTTGTGAGCACATTATGCCCACAGCACGGTACTCAGCAACATGCAAGGGCTGTGCGGTGCGGGTCAGCACACAGCACACGGCAAATGACCACACCGGGCTTCTGCCAGTGCCCCTGCTCCCCCCAAAGAGGGTACCCACCGAGGAAGGTGGGTGCACCCACCCCAGGGCAGTCTGAGGGCTGTGGGGTGCCAGGGCATGTCCATCTGCAGAGCATCCGTCTGGAGGAGGGAGACTGCCTGTCATGCTGAAGCCACATCTAAAGCAAATGCCAGTCCTGCTGCCGTCACGGGGGCCCGCAGAGGTAACCGCGTGTTTCCCTCCCTGCAGCCTGCAACTGTGATCCCTCCGGCAGTTTGCCTTTCTCCATCTGTGATCCTGCCACCGGAGAGTGCCTCTGCCAGCGGTTCGCCACAGGGCGACGCTGTGAAAAATGCGTCGTAAGTACTCAGTTTTTGTTATTATTTCTGCATGTGGTTTTAGAAGTCTCCTCTCCCATCTCCCACCTTTTCATTGCCAGAAAAGTAAACAATTAGTCAAAATTCAAAATAATTTTACAGTTGTATGCTCCCATTTTGCATTGACACACCTGGTTCTTTTTTACTGCTTGCAAACATTTGTGTAATCAAATTGTGCTAGGAGGAGCACTCCCAGGAGGGGAAAAAAATGCAAAATCATGTCCTCAGGCTATCTTTGCTGTTTACAGAGCAACTTGCTTGCACAAATGGGTAAATATCTGGCTCTTCTTGCAGTGGCTGAGCACCCATGCAATCTGGTAAGAGAAGCAATCTCCCATGGCCAAGCACAGGCAGCAGCACAGTAGTGCTCCAGAGCGTCATTCATCCAGGGGAATAATTTCTGTTGTGCTTTACATACTTAAATATTTGCCATAAAAAATCTTTCACTTTCTTTTTATCCCAGGTAGGATACTGGGGTCTTGGCAGCAGCTTGTACGGCTGTTCTCCATGTGACTGTGATATTGGTGGATCCCAGAATAACTCGTGAGTTAATGTTCTTCAAGTTGTTTTTTGGTTTTAATTTTTAGAAACTCTTAGGCTAGATATTCTAATTAGGTTAATAGAGCTCAGTACAAATGGGAAAATAGACTGTAGATGTAATTTCATCATATACAAACAGTGTAAAGTCAGGTTGGGATCTTGGAAATTTATTTGTGTAAGTGGATTTACCTTTTTCCTTTGAAGCCAACTTTGAATCAGCTTAAGCCAAGATTTGTTTAATATAAAATATAAACTGCATGGCTTGAGAGAACCAGAGGCCCTAATATTAATAGAAATTAGAAGTAAGTTAGAGGTGACATTTTTAACTTAGTTTCCTACATCTACTTTAAGCTAGAAATAACTCAATTTTTTCTGACGTACTGGCTCCTATTCAAAATACATAATTTTAGAAGCAAGCTTGGTTTCAGTTGGGCTCCTCCAGAAGTCTGTTGGGCAGGGGTCTTCACTACTGCTGTTAGACTTCAGACACAGGAGCACACAGTCTGATGCTGTAGAGCAGCTCCTTGTGAGCAGGTAAATCAAAGCTAGTAATCATCTGATGTGTTAAATAAGAGTTTAAGTATATGAAAACTACCATATCGCATCAAATCAAAGGTCCTTCTGATCTCATGTCCTGCCTCCAAAATTGCGAGTGATAGATACTCAAGAATAGTGATAGATACAGTAATAGATACAGAAAGAGATACAAGAAATGGATACAGGAATAGATAGTAACAGATGCTCAGGAAACAAAAGGATCTGTGCTTCAGGTATGGAATGGACAGAGAAAGACAAAGTATGTCATGTCTCCTAAGGGATGAAAAAGTAGCATTGAATAAATCCAGCATTGGAAACAGAGGGGGTGGGTGGTAGGAAGAAGTTTAATAGGGGAGGTGATCCAACAATGGAAGAAACAAAGCAAAGCCGAAACGGGTGGAGCTGAGCTGCTCTCATGCTGTGAGGACCCAGCCATGCCGCACTCTGACGTCCTCCCTTTACCAACTCTTACCCTAGGTGCTCACCGGAGGATGGGCAGTGCAAGTGCCTTCCCAACATCGTGAGCCGCCAGTGTAATGAGCCAGCCCCAGGCTACTTCTTTTTACCCCTGGATTATTATATTTATGAAGCTGAGCATGCAAAGCCCCTTTCTGGCTCTGCACCCTTGGTACGTAGTTGGCTTTTTAGGTGTCGTACTGAGAGGGGATCCATGCGGTGGTGGCACAGGAGCCGAGGCTGCGGAGAGGAGCCCTTGCTCGAGGGGTGGCTGGGGCGGCTCTTTAGCAGGAAGGTACAAAGCAAGTCCCTTGACCGTCCTCAGTTCAGCCTTATTCTTCATGGACATGACTATCCCGTAACTGTGGCTGTTACCAAGGGGCAGGCACTACAGCATGGTGTGACCTGCAAAGCTTTCCTTGCTGCTCCTCAAGTGCGGGCTGGTCTAGCATGAATTAGAGAAATTAATTTAATTATTTAAATTACAGGAAAATGTTTGAGTTGCCAACAGCTATCACGAACTGTGATATTTCTGGGAATCTCCAACAGGGGAAGAATCAAATTCCTCTCTGTTCCATTGGACTCATTTCTGCTGCTTTATATAATGGCACTGATTGTAGCCCAATTTCCTCAAGAATTTGGCATCCATCTGTAATGTTTTTAGAAAAATTAATTTTTATTTATTTTTTTTTCTTCAAAATGGGGGTAATTGTTCTCCATGCAGAGTACAAGTCTGGAATGCATTCCTTCCACTGCCTACGTTTTTACTAACGTTTCTTCTCCGATGTGTTGTCCAGAAGCTATAGAGAAGGAATAATAAAAAAATGTTTATTTGCAGGTCACATCCGCAAATATTTAGCTATAATCACAACCAGTAATCATCCTGCTGTCCAATAATTAAATGAAAAACAGATGTCTGGGACGTAGCTTAAGAGGAAGTGCAAGTTAATTGTAAGACAGTGAGGGAAAAGGGTTTCCAGCAGCTGCTGGGCCATAGTTTAGAGTTTCACCCAGAGCTTGTTTTAGGCGTGTGGATTTTCATTTAGCTGCTTACCTACCCTTCAACACTGTTGAGACAGTGCTGTCCCCTCTCTCGTTACTTTTACTTCATAGGTTAAACCAAGCACTCTTCCAAGGTGTGACATCTACTTCCAGAAGCAAGGCTATGAGTTCACGATTGAAAACGGAAAGATTGTGTTAAACAGGAGCAAGAAACGAAGTATTAGAAAATCTGGACTGGAACAGGTAAATTGGTACTTTAATAGTTACTTAAGGTTACACCAAATACTAAAATTTTATTTTGCAACAAAGGGCAAGGAAATGTCTGAGCATATGGGATTCACAGTCCTAGACGTTACAAACCTGACACAAATGAAATCAATTTTTTTGGTATGCAGTTGGGCTGGACATTTTATAATTCACATTGACAGGTTTGCTCTGCTATGTCCGGTGCCATTGTAGACTCAGGTTCAATTAATTGTTTAGAAGGGAAGAGCGCCCATGAAAGGTTTTGCTTGCAAGACATTTCCGACATTTAAGTGTACCTAGATGTTAACATGGTACCTACGGCATTTAAATGCTGTCAACTCTGTCATTGTAAGTATTGATATTTATTTATTCAGCTTATAGTGAAAAGTCCAGCCATGTATGAAATCAAGCTTAATCTGTTTAAGGTTTGCAATGTGAATTCCTGGAGATGCCAAATACAGAGAGACAGATGGATTATTCTAGTCCTTCTTGTTGCTGTTGTTGCAAAGCTAGAGGAAGCATTTCTCTATATGTGACCCTAAACATCCTACATTTGGGAGAGTTCTTAGAGTCTCGATTGCAAGCTTGTTCAGAAAATGAGGCTGGCTGATGGCTGAAATAAGTAAATAACATGGCAAAAATGCTTCCTGTCTTTTTCTTAGTTTGTTTTTTTGTAATTTGACTCTGTGTGTTGTTGAAAATGTCAATATCTCTTTGCAGGGTGCAGTGCAGTTTGGACAGGACTCAGCTGTGTCGGTGGTTTTCAGGCAGCCCAGCGCCGGCCGGTCTGTCACATGGACGGGACCTGGCTTCGCCCGCGTTCCCAGCGGAGCTGGGCTGAGATTTGCCATCAACAACGTTCCCTTTGCTATGGACTTTGATATCACGATTCGTTATGAGCCTGAGGTACTTGTGGTGTCTTGTGTGTCTTGTGATGTTGTGATAGATGCAGGGTCTATTTTGTCAATAATAGGACACAGCAAGTTGTCCCACTCCTTATATCTAAATTTAAAATTGTTTGCCTTTTCATCCTTATCAACAGAGCAACATGCCCTCCACTGATCCCCTTAACTCTTTCCACTCATATCTGAAAAATCAGCATGACAAGTATTTTCTAAGCATTGGCCAAGATTTCATCTTCTGGAGTTCCTCTTTTGGTACCTTTGCTTGGATTGGACTTTTGTTCACAAATCAGACACATGCAAAATCCAGCTCCTTTTAGATGGGCATCCTGTATTTCTAGCTGGGATTTTCTGGGCAGGAAAATGTGCATACGCAGAAGTGATCTGAGTAGATATTTATCCAGGGCTTTTGCAGACATCCAGCTTCCCAGTTGCTCCAGCTGGGCTCTAAGATGTGTGAAAATTGTAGGAAAACAGCCAAAATCTTATTTTTTGCCTGGACAAAATTTCTCTGTGATGAAGACATGTCTAGGGAAATCTGTTAACGCAAATCTGGTTAAACCCAAGTCCGCACCCATGTCTTCAAAAACACAGACAAGTGTTTTATCGGTACCAGTATTTGTACATGCCTTGCTCTTTCGCTTTGCAGCTCCTTGGGACAATCCCACCACTTGAAATCCTCCTTCTGTCTATTGTATTCTGTTCTCTTGCTGTCATTCTGAGGCAAACAAAACTCCCAGTGTCTTAAAACGTGAGAACAATATTGCAGTAGGCTGGTTTGATGTAGCTTTTTCCTTCTAAGGATTAGATTAAACAGTTGAATTTTGAAGACTTTTGTTACAAAGTCTTTTATGTTTGTTATTCCTTATTAGATGTGAGAGGAGGCAGATAATGAAGGATACCTCCGGGACAATGCCGTGCTAAGAAAGGAAACAACTGCAATGACTTTAACAGAGCTGTTTCCATTTGCACCAGCTGAGGTCCCATTTCCGTCTCTGCTCTTCAATTAGCCATTGCAAATACAATGCATTTTTCACAAATAACATTATTTTTTTTAGTCCTGTAAAGAACAAAGAGAAAATCTGTTTTGTCACTGCAGTGTGCAATCATTCAGATGGCTTTCATTAACCCTGGCAAAGAGAACGTGGGTTTTTCAGATATGAAAAATGACCATAATTTTTGTCCTTTGTTTATAGTCCTTGGAAGACTGGCTAGCAAGTGTTGCCATCCAGCCTGCTGGTATTTTGTCAAGTCAACGCTGCAAAAACAAGGGCCTTTCACAGGAGCCACATGCGTTGCCTCTCCCAGCTACAAAGAGGTCTGACTATTCCTGTCCTTTTGCCTGTAGATTTTCTGTGTACAAATCTTTTACTGAAGCACTGCAGAGTGATAAATGTGTGGGAAAGTGGGAATATTAGAAACACATGTGCGGCCTTTCCTGTTGCTGTCACACCACAGTACCACGTAGGCTCTAAGGAAGAGTCTGATGCTCCAGTCCTCAGCCTGGCAAAGGTTTGCCCAAGTCAGGAGAGCAGCCTGAGATCCTGCTGGGGTTAGTCGTTGCTTTGGCAAAGACCCAACTCCAGCTATTTCAGTGTAGAAAGGAAATATTGACTTAAAGTCACCGTCCTAGCCTGTTTTCAAAACCAGCTTTTCAGCTGGGACCTATGTAAAGAATAGAGAGGAGCCAAGAGGATGTGACCAAACTCTTGATCAAACAGGGACAGGAAAGGACAAATATAAACAGTGAGCTGCAAACTCCTTTGCTTGAAGTAGCAAAACCTGCCATTTTCAGTTTAATCTCACCAGGTTTAAATAGCACTTTGTGAATCATTCAGGCAGAAGTCATGCAGCTTTCCCAAAGCCTGCGAGCAGCGGGGCTGGGTGTGCTCCCTGCGGCAGCAGGGCTTGCTCGGGGCTGCAGGCGTTAGGATGCAGGCACAGGGGGGAGGGAGCGCTCACCGCATCCAGTAAACTTGCCTTGTCCTGATTCCTGGCTATAACTGTGCTTTACTTCTGCTAAACAGGATTGCACTTCTGCAAACTCCAATCTGCCTGGAGCCGGGAACAGAATATTCTGTGGATGTGTATTTTTCTCAGCCCTCTGCCTCTGACCCAAAGGTGAAATCGTTCATCTTAATTGACTCAGTGAGTAGTTCTGTCACAATTTCCTTGAGGCTGTATTTATACCAGTGTGATTTTTTTTTTACACAGACTTACTCAAAATATTTTAAAATCATTTATTTATGTACAGGAATTCAGGGAAGTGTGCTTCTGCTTACCTCCCTTGGCACTGTGTTTGCATGTTTTTGTACGGAAAGACAGAATTGTATCCATTTTAATTTTCATGGATCAATACCATAATAGCTCATCAAGTCATACTTGTTGCATATGTTAACAGTCAGAGTATGTACCTCTATCTGCTGCTCATTTATTATGAGCACACTCCACATATGCTAACAAGATGCTGTGGTTAGGGATATAAATTCATGCAGTTCTTCATCACTTAGGTTTTTTTAAAATCTCTATGATTTGTCTGAATCTAATTAAAAAATCATGGATGTATTTAAAGATGACATTGGAAAAGTAAAATTAGTTCTGTACTTTCCCGGGAATCAGGTCCAGACATTTCCCAAGTTTCCACCAAGTCAGGAACTGGGTGTTGGTTTTGGGTCCTTCTCTTGAGAAAAATATTTTTAAGTTGCTCTAATTACTTCTGTAGAACTGGACCTGACAAGGGCTAGCCATACTTGGACATAGAACCTTCAGCTGATTTTTCTCTATCTCGGTAATACAAGTAAAAATTTTGGCCAGATACTGCTTTTGGAGTCATCAACATGGCACCTCTTAGAAGCAAAAACAGTTCTGAGCATATATCTGAGGTCTTATTATAATCTGACTTTTTTATACACAGTCTCTTTTATTTGAAGAACTCAGGGAATGTCTAGACCTTCAGAATAAATGTGAATTTAGATGGCTGAGCAGCACAACGGCAGATTTGGAAACGCGGTGCTCCAGGCCTCTGTCCTTGCAATGCGGAACACAGTAAGAGAATGTGGGAAATTCTGGTTTCCAGTATATCTAAGCAAAAATATTTTCTTTTTCCTCCTAACACCAAAGCTTGGACTTATTCCCAGAATCGGCTCCGTGGAGAACTTATGCAGTGAAAAGGATTTAGATGAGTACCAGAAGTATCACTGTATTGAAATTGCATCAGAAGTTGGACCTCACGTCCTGCCCGAAGCGTGCGCACAGCTCATAGTGAGCATGTCAGCCCGTATTCACAACGGCGCCGTCGGTAAGGAGCAACCTGCACAGGCAGCTCTTTTGGACAGTTACTGGTTTTCCCTTGAGTTTGTAGGATATGTTGACTGGAGAGCTCTCAGCTCATGGTGGTGTAGATCAGTGAAGCTGATCAGCATGTGTTAAGTATGGACGTGTTGAACCTTGAGTGCGCTGCAAACGCCTTTTGGTGGCATGGCTCTCAGAGTCCATCGCACCTGATGAGCTTTATGAAGCAGCGTGACAGGGACCATGGCAGTGCTTGTGTGTTTTCTGAAGAGCATTTCAATCAGATGCAGCTTCACCAGGTGGCCAAAGCAGTAACTTTCCTACTTTTCTGGCTGCTATAAAATGACAGAGGAGTTTTTAAGCCCTCTCCCTGGATGCTATAGGCCAGCTGGATGCCCTGGTAGGACTCCGATGGCACACAAGCTGATGTGCTGGAAGAGGTTCACCAAGAAAACCTCAGTGGTGTCCCAGCAAGAGGGCAGTGGCAGTTGGCTTTTGAAGCCCCAGGCAGTCTCCTGGACCCACTGCAGAAAGGGCAGCTGGACTCGGTGGCTCAGGAGACTTCCCTGGTGTTAGGCCCAGAGAAATGGAGCTTCTCTGCACTTCCAGTAAAAGGAGGGCCCTTTTGGACAACTTTGGTGTCCAGCTCCTTTCAGGGAACCTTGCCTCCGATGGATCTGATAGCATCTGCTTGGTTTGGGCTACTTTTAGAAAGACCGATGCCTCACTCACACATCATGTGATGTGGTCATGGCTAAGCAGCCACATAGCGAAGCCGCCCTCATTTAAGTTTGGGCTGTGCCGACTCCCCATTAGCCCCATTCCCATAGTGATGGGATTCTCCCAATGAAACATGGCACTTTGGCTTTCTAGCGCTGGCATCTGAGCATCCTGGACAAACATCCTCTGTGAGTTAGCAGACCAGCTTCACTCAACAAGTTAGTCCAAGGTGTCAGAAAACAGCAAACAATACACAGGTGCAGGCTGTCTAAGTACTGCTTGCGGGTTACGTCCAGTGCTGCAGCTAGACATAGGTTTGTATCAAACCCTTCTAGACTTCAGGATATCTCCATTTTGGACCTACGTTTTGCTACAGCCTCTTCTGTCCTATCCCAAATATGTGCAGAAGGCAGTGCCCTGAATGTGGAAGCTCCAACACCAAGACTTGTGCTGGTGCCTGATACACCATCACCATCGATGCTACAGTATCAAATAGTCCAAGCCATGGCCATCAGGGGTTAGTGAACCCCTGAGGAGAATAATCAAACTCTTTCATTCCTATTTTTAAGTGTAAAAAACCTTCAAGTTTACAAAAGTAATCACACTCCTTTATAAAAAACCTGTTATGATTTTCTTTCCCCTTGGCAGCATGTAAGTGCAATCCCCAAGGGTCGCTGAACACCAGCTGCAGTAAACTGGGGGGCCAGTGTCAGTGCAAAGCCAACGTCGTGGGACGCTGCTGTGACACCTGCTCTGCGGGCAGCTACGGCTTCGGCTTCCACGGCTGCTATGGTGGGTACTTGGCATCCAGCACCGGTACCAGTACCAGGTTCTTCATGCATACCCCAACTTTTTAGGGCTTTGAATCCATGATTATGTGTGAAGCAATACAAAAAATGTTTCCACAAATAAGAAATTTTCCACCCCCGCTGCTCACACTGCCTTCGAGCAGTGTCAGCGATGAGCAGGGTTGGTGGGAGTACGGTCAGGACACAGCTTTGCTTTTGGTGTTTTCCAGCATGCGAGTGCCACCCGCAAGGCTCGCTGAGCACGCTGTGCGACCAGGTGACGGGGCAGTGCTCCTGCCGCCGGGAGGTGGATGGTCAGCGCTGCAGCCAATGTCTGGCTGGGTATTTTGGATTTCCCCACTGCCGTCCTTGCCCGTGTAACGGTTACGCGGAGCTTTGCGACCCGGTGACCGGAGTGTGCCTGAACTGCCGCAGGTTTACAGCCGGAAGCCACTGTGAAAGGTAAGTTGATGAGCAGTACTGCAAAGCTCACCCAAACACTGGTGTTCTCTGAAACGTGTGTGTAGCTGGGTGCCCACCTACATCCCCATGAATGCACCAATGACCTTAACTGGAAACACATACCAGGATTAAACTGGGCCTAGCTGCTGAATGGCAGGTACCTATTTGTTCGACAAATGCATGTGGGAAGGTGCATGTAATACCTGTGGGAGGACTGCGGGCACGGCATGCATGCAGCATTGCAGCGGGCTCCCTGCAAGAAGGCATTTGAGACATGGGTGCCATGGCACCATGTGCTTGGAGACGTGCAAAGTGCTGCATATGAGATGATACACTCCTGCCAGCTTTTAAATTGCCAAGAGGCTAACCTCATGCTGAATACTCATTTTAATACCTGCAATTATCTCTGAGGAGCTTAAATAAACATGCCTGTTTGCTGGTTCGTATTATTTCCATATGACCAGCAAATGACTTTTCCCACGTGTTCCAGCTCCATTCAAAACAGTGCTCCTCTTTTTGAGTCTATACACTGGCAGCAGTATCAGAATTCAACATGGACGTCAAAATTAAATTCTTTAGCTGTTTATTTTAGTTTGGCTGGATTGTACCTTGTCATTCACTTTTAAGAGGATTTCCCCATGAAACCTATTGAGCTTTTCTTGCAGTGCTTTTGGACAATACAGCCTTTGCCTATTGTGCTTGCAGGTGGCAAATAGATTAAAAATGGGAGACTGAAATATTTGTTGCCCTGTGTCTCTGCAGGAGCCCCAGATCCCAGGGCGAGGATAATCGAATAGCCAAGACTTTTAGCCTGGCTTGTATACATACAGAGAATTGTGTTCCCATTTGCCATAGCAAAGCAGATCAAAGACTGAGGATGCTTCAGAAGCCGCTGCGTTGCTGCAGCTGCAGGGCCACGGGGGGCCGGGACACGGAGGCGGCGGTGGCGGGCAGGGTGGCAGGGGTGGCTGAGGCCCCAGGGAGCCCCCAAAGCCCCCCACCTGTCTGGGTAACAGCACAGCCACCACCGCCTCGAAAGAGCCATCGCCCTGGGTTTGCAGAACATGTCAGACAGACCATGGCTGATTTCAATACATATGCTGCATCTAAAATATGCAGTATTCTCTGAGCGCTCTGAATAAATCATTGCTTTTTTGCTCTTGCCAGGACTTTCTAATGTCATGCCAGCCATTCTTCATGTGTGTGTATGGAAATAGATGAATGTATGTGGTGATAGGTGAATATACAGAATTTTTACGTGGCAGCTTTTAGCAGTCTATGCAGAGTATGTGTGATATGTCATATGTATATATTATCATTTAGATTAAAATTGTTCCAGAGTAGGTGAAAGTCTTCAGAAATATTCCTTGAAAAGAAAACATACATTTTTTTCCTTTTGGCTCCAGATTTTGGGAATGCAGCTCTGATTTTCCATTTTAGAACACCTTTGAAGCTTGATATATCTGTACCAATTAATGGGGATAGCATTGCAATGACCTGGAATGTTAAACTAATTATACATATATATAAATTGATTCACCTGCAGGGGCTGAAAGCAGCACCTGACAATTTCTGCTGCTTTGTGTTGACTGCTTTGACAGGTGCATGGATGGCTATTACGGAAACCCTCTGAACGGAGAACCCTGCCGCCCATGCATGTGCCCAGGGGCACCTACAAGCAATAGGTATTTTGCACGTTCCTGTTACCAGGACTCCCAGTCTGCACAACTAGTCTGCAATTGCCTCGGGGGATATTCAGGTACAAACCAAAATAAGCACTGATTCTATTAAAATTAATGTAAGAGAGAAAAATGACCATCCTCCGCCCATCCTCTGTTCAGAAATGACAAGTGAGGTAATGGTAATAAAATACATAAGAAAAGTTAACACTCAAATTTACTGAAATTAGGTGGGGAAGTCCTGACTGAGAAGAGTGGGAAGTGTGCAATTAGTGTTTGAAAAAGGGATTCACCCACGTGTATACAGTGAAGCCATTAATTAGCCTGATGGCACCCTCTGGAAACCTCCTCCTTTCCAGGGGCACTACATTAACCTGGTGGGGAGAGGTGGGGAGAGCTGGAGTTGCTTGTTACCTCTGAAAAACAAGCATTGGAAGCCCAAATCGGAAAGGACAGAGCACCATAGAATCATAGAATCATAGAAT